TATGAAAACTTAGCCCTGATGTCCGGAAAATTTAAAAAGACACTAAATTGTTCCCAAGTAACACTTGTTGCCTAATGTGCAGCCGTTCCATTTTAAACCATTTATGTGTTTCTGTATCCAAGAACAGTTTATTTCCATCATGTTTCTTTTCCTTAATACTTTTCCTCTGTCCTTGACTAGACAATGAAATCGTGTGCTTCTTGAAAGTTCAGCTGGCCGAAGCCATTAACCTGCAGGACAAGAACCTGATGGCTCAGCTGCAGGAGACGATGCGCTGTGTGAGCCGCTTCGACAACAGGACGTGCCGCAAGCTGCTGGCGTCCATCGCTGAGGACTACAGGTACCTGGTGTGGCCACGAGCCCTGTGTGTGTTCTCCAGCAGCCTGGGGAGGGCCCTCTCATTTTACTGTGCCTTACCGACCACGTTATTACTTCTGTGCTTCCCCACGAAGCCATGAAGTTGTCTTACCGACCTGCGAATGCCTTAAAACAGCTCAGGCAGTAATAAACTCATTTTAGGTCAGTTGGTGGGCAATGCTCAGCTCTGACACACGAGGTGCTGTTGGAATTTGCTTTGCTCTGGCATTCTTGCTGCCTCCAGGGCAGTGAGCTCAGAGACCTGTGTGAGACGAACTCCTGAGTTCAGACAACTAGTACTGTTTCCAAAGCATCGGGTTGAAGATTCCTCTCCCACTCACTACAGCTCAGCAGTTTGTAAAGCTGTTAGTTAGCCTCTCCTCATTGTGAGTCTGATGCAGAGCCCTCTTGGTTTCAGGAAAAGGGCTCCATACATTGCCTACCTGACTCGCTGCCGCCAGGGCCTGCAGACCACACAAGCTCACCTGGAGAGGCTGTTGCAGAGAGTCCTGCGAGATAAGGAAGTGGCCAACAGGTACTTCACCACAGTGTGTGTGAGGTTACTGCTGGAGAGCAAGGAAAAGAAGATCAGGGAGTTTATTCAAGGTAAGACTGGCACAGACTGGAGTGTTAGTTTTCCTTTACTCTGTATTTAGGTGCTGATCCGGGTTGATGGTTTACACTACAACTTTTGATCTGAGGAGCAGATTGCTAAAAGGATTTTAACTTCAGCTGGGGAATTAGTGGCTCAAATAGACAGATGGCTGTGACCTTACAGCATGTTGTGGCAGCTAAGCCATGGTAACTGCCTGTATTTTTCATGAGAGAACGAAGGTAATTTGACCTCCCTTGGCCTAGAAAGTTGTGCTAAATGATATTATCTGGCATCTGCCCCGTGGAAAAAACATGGATACTGTTAATTACTTTAGATCTACTTATAAATGATAACTTGAGTTGCAGCATTCAGTTCTCAGTGCAGAACCTGTGGCTGCACCTTAGAAGACATGGGGAATAGTGGTACAACTCTCCAAACAGCTACTTACACAAAACTACTCCACGTTCTCTCAGCACACACCTGACTTAATGAAGCACATAAGGAATGTGGAGTCAGTTCTTGCTCCTGGAGCAGACAGTGCTGCATGTTAGGTGTGCCTGAGTAGGCTAGAATTAATATGAGAACTTGCATTTACTGGGATTGAAGTTCTGGTAATAAGATTCAGTGGCCCAGGAAGGAGTTAAAGGCCTTTCTCGGGACCAAAAGGAGACAGCTATTTCTGGCTAGTCTAGAAGGGAATCTGGCAGGGGTGAGTGGCAGTTGTCTCTGATGCTATAAATATGGAGCTGGTGAGTGGGCAGTGGTTTGGTCACGCTGCACTTGCTGGGCTGCACCACTCCTGCTGTGTCCTGGACTGCTGTGAGTGTTACAGCTGTGTGCACCTAACCAAGGTGGTGGGAAATGGCACACGTGGCATGAAACACATGGTGCCTTACCTGCTCCCCTTTGGCATCTGACAGCTCTGTGTGTGCTGGTTCCTGCCAGCACCTGTCCAGGACCTGTTCTGTGGGAGGCTGGGAAGAGGACAAGAACTAGCACTGTAGAGGGAGTGACTGACACAGCATGAAGCATTTTGACCATGTGCTTTGTTCAATGTGCTCTGTATGCTTTGCCTTGAATTCCTCATTTATTTCAGGTGTTCCTGCCTGCATTTCCCTGGCTGGGATGTGGGCAAAGTAGCTTCAGAGATGCCTGGCAGGAAGTCTAGAGTAGATTCTGGGCTCTTCTTTCCAGAAAAACCGATCAGAATTAGTACTTTCACTGAAGTGAATGTTCTCTTTCCTCTTCCCCCGACCAGATTTCCAGAAGCTCACGGCGGCGGATGACAAAACCGCGCAGGTCGAGGACTTTCTGCAGTTCCTGTACGGGGCCATGGCCCAGGATGCCATCTGGCAGAATGCCAGTGAGGAGCAGCTGCAGGATGCCCAGCTGGCCATAGAGCGCAGCGTGATGAATCGCATCTTCAAACTCGCCTTCTACCCCAACCAGGACGGAGATATCCTGCGCGACCAGTGAGTCTGCGGCGCCTGGGTGGGCAGGTGCTGCGCACCCTCCCGTGCCAGCCAGGGCGTACAGACCTGTGCTTCTCTGGAGCATGTTGTGAAAGAGCAAGGAAATGCTTCAGCATGGTGTGCAAACCTGTTTGCAGAGTCCTTGTAAATGTGTGGACCTGGACACAGACGGTCAGGTCTGCAGGTGTTGTGCTGGGAGCACGACCAGCATCCTCTGCAGGGCTCCTTCTGCTTTCTGCTTCAGTGCAGTGTTTCCCCTGCGTCTGGGGCTCTCTGTTTTGCTGTTGCAATGCTCCATGGGCTGTGTGGTTGTACTTGGTCCTACAGCTCAGTCCTCTGCATCCTCACTGATGTGTCCATCAGCGGTGGGGCCACCAGGGCTATGTAATCTCTGGTAGTGTCAGACTGGAGACGAGTGGGAAGCCCCAGGGAACCACTGCCTGGCTGCTGCTGGCTGTTCATTCATGCTTTTTGTGTTTTCAGGGTCCTCCACGAGCACATACAGAGGTTATCCAAAGTAGTGACTGCAAACCACAAGGCACTTCAGATACCTGAGGTAACAACTCCTTTCCTTTGCTTGTGTGTGTGTGTCAGGGTGCTTGATTTTGGCTGTGTTTGGGGTGGGGAGAGGGTGGTTCTGTTTTACACCCAGAAGTGTTGCTTTGCTATCCATGACAGCTGAAGGATCCTGCAGGGAAAACATGCTGTACCCATATTTTAGTGTCTTCCATTGACTGATCCTTCTAAATTCCTTTTTCTTTTTGATTTTTGTCACGTCTGTCCTGATAGCAAGAATTAAGATTGCTCTGAGGTGCAGTGGCTTTCTGACAGTTTGCTTCAAAAGACAAGGTTTGAACCCTTTCTGCTCCTGATGTGCTTCCTCTGCTGTGGCTGTGGTTCACGGCTGTCAGGTTAACTTTCTGAGCCAGCCAGAATGAGCAGGACCTTGCAGCTCTGAGAATTCACCCAGCACTTCTCATGGTTAATAGGATAAGGAGAAGCAGGTTGGGAGGTTTAAGGAGCCTGTCAGGGGCTGGGTTCTCTAGCTGCCTAGTTCTCAGCTCAGCACATGAAGTGTGTGGCTCACAAAGTGTGTGAGTGTTCACAAAACTGCTGATAAGGAAGGCAGGACCTCTGAAACGGGTCCTGAGCAGGGCATGTGGAAGCACAGGCTAAGGGTGTGAGCTGCACAGGGTTGGCTCCTTGGGTTGTGTTTCATAACCCACCAGGAAGCCACTTCTATTGTGAGTGTGATGTAGAGTCACAGACTCGCAGAATGATTTGGGTTGGAAGGAACTTAAAGCTCATCTAATTCCTCCCACCAGCCCCAGTTGCTCCCAGCCCCATCCAACCTGGCCTGGAACACTCCCAGGGATGGAGCAGCCACAGCTGAGCTGGGCAACCTGTGCCAGTGCCTCAGCACCTCCCAGGGAGGGATTTCTTCTGTCTATCTGACCTAAACCTCCCCTCTCAGTTCGGACCCTTCTTGCTTTAAAGCTTCCCGTCTCTCCACATCCTGCCAGTCTCTGGTACTCCAGCTCCTGGTGGTGCCTAGAGACCAGATGTGGCAGTGCTGGTTTGTCCCCAGGTGTATCTGCGGGAGGCTCCGTGGCCATCGGCCCAGTCCGAGATCCGCACGATAAGTGCTTACAAAACCCCCCGGGACAAGGTGCAGTGTATCCTGAGGATGTGCTCCACCATCATGAACCTACTCAGCCTGGCCAACGAAGACTCAGTACCTGGGGCAGATGATTTTGTTCCTGTTCTGGTCTTTGTCCTCATAAAGGTGAGTTCTTTGGCAGAGATCACAAGCCCCAGCTAAGTCTTGTAACAAACAAGCAAATTTAAGGGGAGGGACAATCTCTGTGGGTAAGAGGAGCATGCCAGGCTTGAACCCTGAGCTGATTCAGTAGGCTGGAACAGGTACAGCACAAGTGTGGCCACAGTTCTGGATTTTGAATCCAGGCAAGCTTTGCATGTGGGACCAAGGAAATTGGGGTGCAGATGTTGTGTGTTGAGTGGAGTTTGGTTGAGGTATGTCCACCAGCCTCTGTCCTCTGTGCCTGCTCCATGCTGTGCTCTCAGGACCAGGGTGCAAACTAGGTCTGACTTGTGCTGTGTTGCTGGTCACTTTTGACATGAGTGGGGAATGGTCTGTCACATATAAGGTGCTAAAACCACAGGCCTCACGTGTGTTGAGGTCCTGATGACCTTCCTAGATTTTCCCAGTGTTCCCCTTCTTTCTCTTGTTTTTTCCTGATTGGAAAAATGCTCCTTTCATCAAGCCTGATGCCCTCTGAGCATGTGGAATGGAGCTGGTGGGGTAATCAGTCCCTGCCCTGTGTTACACTGGTGCAGCAGGAGAATCTCTGCACGAAGGGGATTGCATTTCTGCTCTGTGTCCTGCAGTGGTTGATGTTGAGCTGTGCAAACAAGCTGTGAGTATCTTTCTTCTTCATCCCTCAGGCAAACCCACCTTGCCTGCTGTCCACTGTGCAGTACATCAGTAGTTTCTATGCCAACTGCCTGTCTGGAGAGGAGTCCTACTGGTGGATGCAGTTCACAGCAGCTGTGGAGTTCATCAAAACGATTGACGACCGCAAGTAACTCACACACCTCTGGGCACTGTCAGCAGGAGAGGAGTTTCTAGGAATGTACAACAGCTGCAAAAGCTGAAGAAAAGACTTTCCTTGTATGATACTGTACAGAACTGAGGCATTTTAAAACACACCTTTACTAATCTAATTAATTTAACAAGTTTTCCTCTTCTCTTTGGGTTGCGTTTTTCTCCCCCCCACCCCAGATCCTGGCACTGGAAAGGGACCACAGTTTTCAGGTACTTTGGAATCTCAAAACATGCAGAGAATTCCCCATGCTTTCTCCGCCACTCCTCTTCCTGAACTCACGTGGGTGATTCACTTACTGGAACAGGAGGAATCAGGGCCCCTCAGTAACTTCCTAGCTGAATCACCTTCTCCTGAGACAACACCAGCCACACCAGAGTTTGTCGTAGCTGACATCATTTATCAGGTCTATTTCCCTGAGTTTCAAACCTGAGAGTACAGTGTAAATATTATATAACTATATTTAATGCATTGCAATTATCTTTGGACTCATCATCCTTGGAATAAACAAGCGAAAGCCTCTCGGACCTCCAGCAGGTGGGGACGGACCACATTTGGGGGTGGGAGGACTTCCTCGAAAGGCTAAAAAAGGGCAAACTGAGCTATTTATTAAAGTGTAATTTAAGATTACTGAAATTTCTAAAACTGGAATTTGTAACAGTCAGGACTTATTAGCCAGCTGAGCACTTCCTGGCTAGAGCAGCAGGGTGTCCTGGAGGTTGGGTGTGTAGAGCAGAGGGACTGTAAGTTACAATAGAGAAGTCTAATATAAAAAAGGAGAAATAAAATACCTTACTGTAATATTTTTTCTGAGCTATTGTGTATACTGTACAAACCCCAAGCAGTGATCCCTAGCAGAACCTTGGGCTGTAAGATATATTTTGGTTAGTGACATGAAATACAGATGCCAGGGGGTTCAGCGAATGTTTTTACTAACTGTCCTTCGTGTTGTCTGCCCTGCAGCACTGCAGGTTTTACTGTTCATACGGAGTATTTTGAAATAACAAACACTGTTCTTTGCGAAACATATCATGGCATCAGTTCAGGGTGTTTTATAGAGTTCTCACCCCACTGTTCCCTTCGCCTGGCGATGAGCAGTTTGAAGAGGTTTTTATGCACAACACGTGGGGGTTTCTCCCCAGGGCCTGGGGCATGGCCAGTGGCTGTTGGCTCTGTGTGAGCACTCACTGCCCTTTTCCTGCTCGAGTCACAGCAAAAAGGGGCAGTGAGCACTGAACTTTTCATGTCAGTATTATTTCTTGCTCTTTCCAGAGTGTTCGTTGCACTTCTGACAAAGGGATGTGGTCAGACTTGGTGTCTGAGTGGTAAAGGAGACAAAGTCTTTTCAGAACACGATTGGTTCACTCTGTGTGTGTGTGTCGTTGTGATGATTAAAGCCTGTAAGCAACTAGGACTTGGGAAAGTCATGTGGTTAATTGGAATCAGAGCAATTTATGCAAAGGATCAAGTGACGTGATTGGGCTACTCGTCAGGGCAAAATTGAAGGCACTTACTTTCTAGGGCTCTCAAATATAACTCTAGCAGTTTTGCCAGACTGGTCACAGGTGGGAAGGTGGGATGGTAACTTTTTTCTTTATAGTCTTTCTCCTCTGTTAGAGACTTGATTGTGTGGAGGAGCAACACTCAGTCGACACAGAATTTTCTGATCTGCCTTACTGTGGTGACTCTGTCTGTGTAGCATTGCAATATTCTGGTTCTTTAGCCTTGATGGGTTTTTGGTGCTGAACACATAACTCAATATTGCAAGCACAGCCCTGACCACAACACTTAGCAGCAAAGCACAAACCTGCCCTTGCAGACATGGCCAGATCCTCCCAGACAGCAATAGAAAAACCCACCACGTGGAGGTGTCCTGCTGTGTGTAACCATTACTTGAAACCCGAGGTGTTCAGAGTGATGGGTGGAAGCTCTCTCAGCCCTGAGTGTGGCTGTGGGAGGAGCAGAGTGTCTGGAGATGCCTACAGAAGGCACCAGGGCCCTGGAGCTGAGGTGACCCTGTGCCTCTGCCGACCTGACAGCACCACTGGAGCTTTCAGGTGTGCTCTCCTTCATGGAGGGGGCAAGAACCATTTCCTTCACACCTCGTATCACTTGGTTTCTCTGCATAGGAAAACACTTGAAGGAACTGGAGTCTTTTTTAATTGTTACTTAGTTACCCTAAAACCAGTAAGTGTTTCAGTGAGCCCCAGGTGAGCTGAGAGTTTCTGTAGCAAGATGGTCCTTTGCTTCTTTTCTCCAGCCTATTTGGAAGGTCCTTTATATAGTCTTGATAGGTGTAGTTAGAGAATTAGGCTTCCAAAGAATTAAAAACCTGCCTGTAATGTCCTCTTACTGTTTTCCCTGGTGTCACATGATGTTTTGTTTTTAAATGCTAAGTTCTATGTCTAGGAAGTGATGTCGTTAGGTTTGGTGTGCAATGGTGAAGTGAGAAGACAGTGCATAAAGGACCAAAAGGTGCAGCAGCCACAGGTCTGTTGCTGTCATCAGTGCTCTCTGGAGTCCAATTGCTTCAGCCCCTGGAGGAGGAATGGGACGTCTGGGGAAGGGCAGGGGAGAGGTCATGGGTAGCAGGTCTCAGTCGTGGACTTCTCGCTCAGCTGTTGTTTTCAGTGCTGGTTGTTGGCACGTCCTGAGGGACTGCCACATTAAGCCATGGCATGTCTGTGCCTGGGAATGTGCCAGAGGTGCTGGCTTCCTTTTGGGGCAGAGCAGGGAAGGGAAGGGCTGGGATTTTCATCCCCAGGAGACTCTGTTGTGCTCCTTAGAGATTTCTCTGTAAAGCCTTTTTAAGTCCTCTTCAAGGAGAGTTGGAGTGTGTCTGGCCTATCAAGGATTTGAGTTTAAAAGTTTTTGTTTTGAAGACCTTTTCCTACCAAATGCTGAATGTAACTGCCATAAATTTCAGGAAAAAAAAGCCACGAACATGCTGCTGTTTCCTGTGGGTGAGTCTCTGGTGAGCAGCGTGGGTTCGTATCGCTCAGAAGTGTTCTTGCTCTGCTGAGCCAAGTTCTCACAGTATTGGAGAGCTCACTGCACGGGAGTGGTGAGGGGGAAGGGGAAGGAGAGGCAGAGCTGCTGATGAGCAGGGCTGTTCTGGCACCAGGTGCCCATGCAGGGAGCAGTGCTCGTGTCTGGGTACGGCTGGGGACGTGGGTGAGCCTGGACTACTTGAGAATTAACCTCTGCCAAGTTCGTAGTGTGTGTTCTGTACCTTTTAATTGTGCTTTACCTCTATTTAAAAGCTTTGTACTGCCTCTCCTCTTTGGTAAAGCCTTTCTAAACCTAAATTAACGAGCTTGCACAATCTTGTATACAGGAACCCCTTCTTGTCTGACCGTGATTATTAATGTACCATTCTGTAAACTCTGATTAAAAGGAGAGCAGTTTAACCGCCTGGCCTTGACGTTTCTGCCGTGTTCCAGTGCCACCAGAGCTGTGCTGGGGTGGCAGTCCAGGGCTGAGCAGCTTCCCACTAGCTCTTGTAGTGTCTGTTGGGCATTGCTGCTCTGCTCCATCCTCACACCTCGCAGGGAACGGGCAGTGGCAAAAAGGAACCAAAGTCCAGTCCAAGGGAGAGGAAGCACCACTGCATTGGCTGCTTAACACAGAGCCCTTCAGAGCCTGTTTTAATCGTGCAGCTTGGCAGTTCTAGTAGCTCGAGGGGAACAAAACAGCTCTGCCTGTGCCAGGGCTGTGCCCTCTGCTGTTTGATGCCTTGGTGGAGCAGTCAAGTCCAAAGGTGTCCTGTTTGGCATCTTGTTCCTTAAGAGACGTTCATTTTGCCTAGGAGACAGGAGGATTCCTCAGCTGGTGTGTGGGCACCCTGGTCCTGGGTGGGCAGGAGGGTGGTGGGGCCGGCATGGCCGTGGCACTGCCATCAGCTCAGTCCCCGCAGTATTATTGACCTTGATTCTCTCTCATTTGCATCCAGCATTTTTCATCCTCTGGAATATGGTGTTTGGGGACCTTTCCATCATTAAGTGGATTTACAGCAATTTCCTTATGTGTTTTCTCCAAGGGATTCTGTTATGAGAGGCACATTAAATCTCCATTAATACCTCATTATCCGACTGATAAGATTACCATGATAATGAGGCAGAAATTCTAATTGTTTCACTTCTTATTGTGCCTTTCATTAAATCATATACCTGGAAGTTGCTGTCGGAGAGCTCCAGCCTGCAGAGCCTGGGAGGTGACCTGGTCCTGTGCATCCTGGTCCTGTCCCGCAGAGCTCAGGGGATGCTGGGGTGCACTGGCCTTTTCTCCTGGGCCCCTGTGCCTCCTGCGTGGCCTCTCCTCTGCGGCTGTGCTACCAGGAGGGCATCCAGGGGCTGCAGGGCCTTTGGCAGCTGGCACCAGGAGGTGGATTTGGAGAGACCCCGTTGCCCACAGCCCTGTGCCGTGGCTGTGCACAGCCGCTCGCTCCCGAGGGCCGTTAAGCCAGGGGTGTGCAGCCTCCATCGGAGCTGTAACAGCCCATCAGGTCAATGATCCATGAACTAAAAAGTCTCTAAGCAGGAGCAATTATTGTCTATCATGTGTCAAAGGCACCCGTATTGACCCCGATGGATGGAGCCATTGTGGCTGTCAAGGCAGCGATCCGTGCGCGGGTTCGCGGAACACAGGTCTGGCCACGTCCATCCTGCCCCTCAGCCCAGAGCAGGGGGCTGATCCAGGTGAGGGGCAGGGATGGGCAGGGAGGGGAGCAGTGGGCACTGCCAGGGCAGCCTGGAGCCAGGCTGGGGTGGGGGAACATCCCACCACCCGTGGCTCCTGCTCCCCTGGCAGGCAGAGTGGTTCTCTGTGACCAGAAGGACCTGAGCTCAGGCTCCAGGAGGGAGACACGGCTGGGGGACTGTGTTGGTCACAGGCTACTGGTGACACGATGGGCAGTGCACAGCCAGTGCCATCGGGAAACACCACAGAGACCTTGCTTGGCACTGGACCTGGCCCTGGATCCACCACCTCCTCACAGACCAT